GGAAATGGAAACTCATATGGAGGTGCACTTTCTGAAGCAGGCAAATCCAAATCAGGTAAGCTTCTATGTTTATTTTAAAGTTGTTTAAGTGAAGAATCCATAAATTATATAACATACTATGAGTCTGTGGATTGGTAGATGCCATATTACTGAACTCACCCTTTGTCTAAATTCTGTGCAATGAGTTAGTTTATGATGTGTTTTTTTGCAGGGTATGGAAATGGAAATAGCTACAGTGCTGGTGTACAGCCTGACTACGCAAGTAAGTAGCATTATATAATATTTATCTGAGGAAATCTGTTTTTTAACAATAGCATTTTTCTTTGAAAGTCAACATTTCTCCTTCTCCCCAGGTCTTGGCCAGGGTGTACCCACTGCTGATGCCAAATCAGGTATGATATATATGACATTTGAAGAGAAATCTTAACATAAGGGTGCAGGAAATTAGATTAACAAGGCATGGATCATGAAACAGTCATAATGTGCTGCTGATTCTACAGGTGGTGCCAGACAGATTCCTTACAATGGAGCTCCAGTGGTTCCAGCTGGACTAGATGGTAAGACCATGCCATCACATAAAAAACATGTGTGACCTGTAGGGTTTTAGTGTGCAGAATAATCTACAGTTGAAAAAACAGCAAAACTCCTTCCTTGAAAAGTATAAGACTGCTATTGATATTGTGTTACTGATAAAAAAAAAATAGAAGTGAAAAGGAAAGAAGAAAATACAAACAAAACAGTGGCTGAAATCCAATACCATCTCAACTCATATCCAGTTTGTATGTCTACCAGTGTGTTTGCATGCACTTTAGTCACTTTTGATGTGACTAAATGCTAGACTTATTCTTCCTGTGTACTTGTGCAGGAATTAGTCAATTTGAGCCTCAGTCTGTTGGCCTTGGTCCAAATGGGAAATTGGGCAGCATGTATGGTGGTATGTATAACTTAACACATTCAAATCTTTATTGACACAATAAAACTTGTGTGACAAAAGGCTCTCATTTTAAGAATAATACTTTTTTTTTAACATTTCCTATATTAAATGCAACACATGAGAACCAAAACCTCTTCCAATGTTATAGGAATGGGTGACTTGCCTTTTGGTGGTCAGACACTTGGAATGGATGCAAAGAAGTCAAACGCCAAGTACGGTGAGTCCTCCTTGGTCATATTCTATCACTCCACTATACTGAAGCTTGGAAAGCAGAAGGGAGTTATGTTCATGGTATTATGAGTTTATAGCTAATAAAATACTGCCTCACCTTGATAGCTAGAAATAGTAAATATAAGTGCCAACCACCTCACTGCCTTGCTCACTCTGATTCAGGCATTGGTGGGTTGCAGTTTGGAGGACAGCCTCTCAGCACAGGAACTAATGGTGCAGGAAAGTATGGTATGTCGATGTTAGTGTTGCATGGTTTGGCTCCCTAGCCCATTAAGAATAAATATAAGCATATGCAGCCTCTAATGAATCGATCTGTGTCCAGTATTTTTTCTGCTTCTAAACTCTTTGTCTCAATTGTATCCAGGATATGGTGGAGGACCATATGGGCCTGCAGGTGATGGGAAGTCATCTGGAAAATATGGTGAGAATCATATGACTCCAGCAGACATCATGACAAAAAGTAAACTGCTTTACAGAATAAAGTGCCGTACAATGAGGAGCTGGAACCAAACCACTGTTTCTCCATATACAGCGCCACTAAGGTCTTGAGTATCTTGAGATATTATTAATGATGATTAATGGTTAATTCAAAATACTTCCAGGGGGTTGGTGCCAGCATGGGAGGGTGTACATCCTCTTTGCTGTGCTAATAGCCGCCCAGACAGTGACAGGCTAACGATAATATAATACACAATCCACACTTGGCTTCATATGAAGGTCTATTTTGAAAGGTCATATGATCATTTATAGTGTTTTCCCTCCATCTCGGCTCAGGATATGGTGGCTTCCCCAATGGTGGGCAACTTCTTGGTCTTGGCAGTAATGGAAATACTGCCGGCAAATATGGTGAGTAATTAGCTCAGGTGTCTTCAGTTGTGATTTGGTTGCGTCACAGACACGTCACTGTTATTATTTCTCTTATCTTCCTGTCTCTCCTCTTCCACTGCAGGATATGGAAGAATGCCTTATGAAGCTCAACCAGCTGGACTGAGCCCTGAGGCCAAATCTACTGGCGAATATGGTAGAAACCTTTAAACGAAACGTTTGGGGAAATACACTCATTAACTTTCTTGTATGGTAAATATGAAGCAGCTGGCTAACTTAACTTTCTTAGCTTTTGTACAGATTAAATGAACAAGATACAAAATGTCAATGAATGAGCTTCAGAGATGCTGGTAGGTGGATTTTATTACCTTTGTATAGAACCAGACTGGCTTTATTCCCTGTTTCCAGTCTTTATGCTAAGCTAAGTTAGCCAGCTGCTGGAGTAGCCTCATATTTACAAGGACAGACCTGAGAGTTGTATTGATCTTCTCATCTAACTCTCAGCAAGACAGCAAGTATATTTCACATAATGTTGAACAGTTCCTTTAATAATGAGTCCATGAAAATGTGAATTATGAAATAAAGAATTTGTTTTGTGCTGCATACAGACATACTCAAACCAAAGTATACAGCATGGATGCATTTGTTATTGTTATATTTTGTAATTTATTTAATTAATTATATATTTTTTCCAGGTCTGGCTGTGTCACAATATCAGCCTGAACCTCTTGGACTTAATGGACAAGTAACAAGCAAATATGGTAAGATCCAGCAAACACGACATCTACCTTCTACATGACATTTGTTTATTCATCTGGTTTAACTTGTCATCTGGTTTGACTTGTCATCTATGTGTGGCTGTTTCCTTCTAAGGTGGCAGTGAAGTTCCCTATGCACCACAAGCTCTTGGTTTCAGGGGTGACGCAAAATCTTCTGGGAAATATGGTACATCCTTTTATGTGTTTTTGTTTTTTCTCTTCTTGTCATATCAATCTTTTTTTTCCTCTGCATTTTTTAACATGCTTGCTAAATGATTTCACATCAACCTCTCTGCAGGTAACCAGGGAGCGTACCGGTCACAGCCCCTTGAATCTGCCTCTGAAGGCAGATCTGCTGGAGAATATGGTATTTTGTCATTATTGGTACTATTTACCAGTCTGGTTAGAAATATGCAAACAAATTGTACATTTATCTTTATTTTTGCCTTAAACAGATCCAGCTGCTTTACCTTATGAGTCTCTGCCACTTGAGCCAGATTCACCTGGAATATCTTATGGTGCGTCAGGGAAAGAGGTTTCACAGCACAAATAGACTGTAGACCCCAGTCTCTTCTCATCTTACCTGTTTTTCTTCTGATCTCTTAGTGAAGGGAGAGCTACCGACTCCGGCAGTCGAAGGCGAGGGGGTGTCTGTTGATAGATATGGTAAGTCTAGTGTGTATTACATGGTTGTCTCTTGTGGATCCATTGATTTCAGTTAAATGTTTAGCTGTTATTTGTCCCTTTCAGAAAATGTGGGCTACATAAATGGACATGTGCAACCCGAAGGTAAAACACGAGACATTTTATCTGCATAAATAATGAATTAGCAATAAAAACAGCATTGAAATCTTTTACCCCATTCACTTATTTTTTCTCTCTATTATGTCAACCTATTTTCCTTTCCTCAATAGCTGTTGCATTTCCTGCAGCTCCCACTCCTAGCCCCACCTTGGCCTACCCCTCTGTCCCATCCTATCTGCCCGTAGAGTCCTTCACTCCTGATGTGGTGCCTGGAGCGGGTGTTGAAGACCTGCCCGATCCCGCGGGCACTGCCAGCCTCAGCCTTGGTTCTGCACCCGCCACAGAGACGCAAGGTGTGGTTCAGGTGCCTGAGCAACCCGATGACCTGCCACAACAGCAGCTGCCACGTCAGATACACATTCAACAGCATCTCAAACTTCATTTTCACCCACAAGGCAAGTCATGGAGAGCTAAAAGCACTGCTAGACAGATCATCTGTAGGTAAGGTGGAAGGAAGAAATGGAGGAAGATGAAAGAGAGGATGAGCAATTCATGAAAGGCTGCATTTATCTTCTCATCTAACTCGCAGCAAAAAAAAAAAAAAAAAAGCCAATAGATGAATTTCCAAAAAGGTGGGACTATTGCTTTTATTTAAATATGATAAAGTTCAACAGGAAGCATTAGAAATAATGTTAAGTTTACCAACATTTGAATCCAGGAATAATATTTAATCAATGTAAATAAGGTTAAATATTAAACTTCTGTGTAACACTTTGCCTTGTTTCTTTTCTTTGTCTTCAGGAGCAAAGAATGGAAAATATGATTTGAATGGCTTCTTTGGGAATAGTGGCTATCAAGGTAAGAACAGAGTCAAACTTAAACATAGTTCAGTGTACTGACTTTCCTCAAACTTGCAACTCATCTTTGCACTGTACTCTTTTCTCCACACAGGTTAACTGTGCCGACAACGACTAGTATAACCTCTTTTTCTGCCATTGTATATTATTTTTGATTGTTTCCTAATTGTATATTATTTTTATTTTCTCCTGTCTGTCAAATAGTCCTGGTAGTCATATTTTTATGTTTGCTTGTAAGTCTAGAGATAAAACAACAACAATTTAAGCATTTTGAGTTGTTAGGTTTTAGTGTGAATCTTTATACATTTACCTTTTTGTCCTGCACTTACTCTTCACTGTACATGTAAAGAAGTGGTTGTTGAAGAAATGGAAGTACGGCTGCTGCATGTTTTCAGTGATTTCATTGAATCTGTCAGTTTTGCCTGGATGTTCTCAACTTAAAATGTTTCTATAAAACCTAATTCAGTCTAATTTATTTTGCACAGGAAAGGGTTTTTTACTACTTGTGGCAAGCATCTGTTTATTATTGTACAGTATTTGATTGAATAAAACCATCAAAGAATCCCAACAGTGAAAATGTTGCATGTGTGTGTTTCTCCACATCTATCATGTAACAGAAAAGGCAAAACGCATTTAATATATTTAAATGTACATTATAAGGAATTACCAGTACCAACAAATCTATGTCATTAAGAAAAATAACCACCTGTTAAAGTGTTGTAATCCCCAGATCATCCTGTCTGCAGTGCAGTTATAAACAAGTGTAGGTAATAGGAGATTATGTGCAGAGTACAATAAGAGAAATACAGAATATATCTATGTTCAGGATGAAGTTGAGGTGTGTGTGTGTGTGTGTGTGTGTGAGAGTTATGAGCTGCGACAAGGAGCAGCTGTGGCATTGCACGTGGCTTTTTGTGAGGATTACTCCAGCTTAGGAGTAAGAGCCGTTTGGTGATTGGTCCTACTGAAAGCATGCCACTTGGCCAGCTAAACAGGTTGCTTGCTTGGAATTACACCTGTCCAAATAATGGGTTTCAAGGACCATAGTTTCCGACTAGTTGTGGTCATGACTGCCGCAGAGTCATGAGTGTGGCCTCTTTTAGTATGTAGATGTAGTGAGGAACCTCTACTGTCAACTAAATGTAAGGACATTGGCTGCAGGAAGTAGTGATGGTGCTTAACAAAGGACCGCGGCTGTTGGACTTTGCAAAGACCCCTCCACACCTTCAGTTCAACAAATATGTCCTGACAGGTTACCGGCCTGTGTCCACGGCTCAGGACTGCCTCAGGAGCCTCTTCTATATGCACAATGAGTTGGGGAACATTTACACTCATGGTGAGTCCAGAAATCAACTGTGCATTGACTTTGCTTTTCTCTTTCTTTAGAAATGTATGGCAATACGTGCCAGTCTGGAATAAATGTAAAATATCAATAAAAGTGTTGCATCTGCATTTCCATTAAAATAATCTGTTAAATGCATGGAGCAAGGTTTTCCCACCTTGCACCAAATCAAACCAATCACGGCATGAACAAACAAAACGGGTCACAAATGTCCACTACTCTCACTTGTAGCCAGTTAAGAACACTTGACAAGGCTGAGTAATAAGGATATGGGGTATTAGCTGTAATCTGCCCTGGGAATCTCTGTCCTGGAAATAACCTACTGTTAACTAGGCCTTTAAAGGTGTGTATTTGGCTGACACTTTTCAGCTGTGAATACCCATAGGCAAGTGTCTTGAGCAAAGCATCCTGGTTACACACACACACACACACACAAGTTTGCATAGATGATGTGCAATTGCAGAATTAGTTTGCCAGCATCTTGTTTTTAAATTTTGTGCTTTTAATGTAAAACATCTGAATTCAACCATGACCTCAGTTTTGAAAACACAAGCGAAGATGGAAACTTAACTGCGTGAGCCAAAACTCGTGCAGCCTTAAACTTCTGAAGGCCTCTTCTTCGTGCTCCATTTTCACCCCGCCTATCCTATAAGATCATTAAGACTAACACTCTTACGAAGGTGAAATGAAGGGTATTAGTTGTAAAGGGTTGCTCAGGTTTCCTCTATGTATGTAGCGAACAGCCATATGTTTCACATTGTTCCTGATGAAAAACAGTGGAACAACTCTCATTAAATTCCTCATATTCATCTGCAAAAGGTGATATATGATTTTAACTGCTGTAATTATGTCAGGCTTAAATTATCAATAAGATGCCATTAACCAAGTCAACATCAGCATCCACCCAACATACAAATGAAATTATGTCTGAATCAGGCCAATAATGACTAATCATGTGTAAGTGTATCTATATCAATGTAGTAGATTTCAAACAATTTCCAGTTTCATGTCTTCCTTTCTCTTCCTCCTTTATCTTCTGTCCCCTATCAACTCCTCATCTTCCTGTCACCTCAGGCATCCCTTTTTTCCTTTTCTTGGTGCTACTGCCCTTCAGCATTCCCTGGATGGAGGTGGAAAGTTTCTGGATTTGTGTTGTCCACTATCTGGCCTGCCTCTGCCCCACCATAGGGTCAGTGGTCTACCATGTGTTCATGAACCATGTGGGAGGAGAACATGTGTACGACACCCTGCTCTCCCTGGACATGTTCGGGGTCTGCCTGGTTAACACCCTGGGTAGGTCGTTGAAGTCTTAGATTTCTCAGTGAGTGCAACAGTTTAAAGCGTATTCACAAAAAATGAGAGCAGTTTTTAAGGATAACAAGACTTCATGGTGTGCAAGAACCTTTTTGAAATTATGAAATGCCTTTCTATCTCAACAACTAGCAAAGGCTCCCACTGTTAAGTTCCTACATGTTTGCATTTCTTATTTTAACATTTTGGGAGATGCACTTATTCACTTTCTAGTCAAGAGTAAGATGACACTGTTGATACCACTCTTATGTCTGTATGCAAAATATGAAGCTAGAGCCAGGAGATAGCTAGCTTGGCTTAGCATAAAGATGGGGAGGGGAAAACAGCTAACCTGGCAATGTCCAAGACATCAAGCATCTCTTGAGGTCATTAATTAACATGGTATATTTCATCTAATTCATTTGTACAAAATCCAAATAGTAAAAACAAGGTTTGTGGAGGTTATGTACCAGACTATTTCTTGGCTGAAAGTATTGGCTACCATAGTTTTTCACCATGAACTAGCCAGGCAACCTGTGGAAATCACTTCCAGCTAATCCAGCTTTTGTCATCTTTGAACATACAAAACTAAGCTAACTGAATGCTAACTGTAGCCTTATATTTACCACCCATTATTAGAGCTTGGTATACTGGCCCCTTTATTGTTCTGATATTGTACAAAGTCAAAACTTGAGGCCTGTAGATTTGAATGTTTTTGCCCTCAAGTCTCAAATCAAGTCTGTAGAGATTCAGGCCAAGTAAGTCATATCACATATCAACAGTCAGGTCTGAGCCAAGTTTTGGGTCTTTATTTTTGTGACTTAAAAGTCTGACTCAATCCCATGTCTCACATCTACATGCTCTGCTAAAACCCTGACAACAACCAAGTCAATAATATGTGACTTCACTTTCGGTGACATTTTGGTCTATTCATCGGTACATCTTCCCTTTTCTCTCTAGGGGCACTTCCCATCATTTACATCACCCTTCTTTGCTACCCAGCCGTGCAACAGGTTGCCTTGCTGGCTTACATCCTCCTGTCAGCCTACGGAATCTACTGTGCCACCACAGCCCGCACTAACGTCCTACGCCTGCGAGCTTTTGTCTGGCAGGCTTTGTTCCGCTTCAGCCTCTTCCTCTTCCGGGTGTATGGCAATGGTGTGGGTAGCCCAAACTCCCTGCGCCTCTTTGTCATCATGGACTCTCTAGCTGTATTGGGAGGGCTGGTGAACATCATCCAGATCCCTGAGCGCTTCAGCCCGGGCCTGTTCGACAACTGGGGCAACAGCCACCAGATAATGCATGTCATGGTTATTTGCTCAATTGTCTACCTGCACTGGGGCACGCTGGAGGATTTAGCCTGGATTAAGACGTACCAGTGTCCTACTGAATGATGCCAAGTGTATCACAGTACAAACACGCATGCACTTAAGGCCACGCTGATAGAAATGAGATTTAGGTATCATTGAGGCAAGAGGAGTATGAAAAGAAGGCAAGCTGTTTAACAATGCACTTTAGTCCTAGCTGCTGAAATTCTTCACAAGGGAAGTTTGTAATTTGACATTTTACCAGAGAAGAATAAGAGGAACTTACAGTGTTGTAACTGTGAAACTCAAATATCACCATATCTTATTAAAAATCCTGAGTACACTTGATTTTTAGTTTGCTGAAATGCAGTAGTTTTGGGTCTTATTACCCATAACCAAAATAGTTTTTAAATGTAAAATGTAATTATTATATGTAATAAATTATATATTTTTATATCTTGCTCCAATTTTTATTTCATCCATGCATGATGTGATGAGAATGGTTTATGTGACAGAGTAAAATAACAAAAGTGGTTGAATGCTTCTGTTTAATTGAAAGAAAGATAAACTGTATATACACTTGGAAAGAAAAATCATTTTTTTCTATTGCTTAATGTTTCTTAAAACTAACAGTTTTCATTTGAAACTTGGCAACAAATTACATTCCTTTTGTTTGGCATTCTTATGAAGAGCTCTCTGGCATTTGCTTAACATGCCCCATCTCAAAGACACTCACCTCAAAACAAAAACTTCATCTAATTATGTGATATTATGGCCACTTTAGAAAAGCAGGTGTGTTAATTAGGTCTGAGAGAGGTGTGGATATTGCAGAGGTGGAATACATAGACCATAACACAGCAGCTTTATTGTTTTATAACACACTGAGTCAACGCAGTCTTGTGTTATCTGCAACAATGGACGATCACCTTCTTTTCTCCAAATGATTTTTCCTCTGTGGTCCAATTCTGGGGATCAGTCTTCATCTGAGCTGCTGTCATCCTCGCCCTCTGATAGGTCGGCGATGGGAAACCGCAGGATGGCAGCCACTCCGCTCAGCTGAGTCAGTTCTGATGAGACAGTGGAGGATAAATCAATAGGTGACAACACAGACAGTAAACAGGCTGATTTCATGTCTAAGTAGGGAAGTGTAAAGAGTGTGGGTGTAGTTGAGCAATTGTTTCTGTTCACTCTTCACTTCCTAAAGTGAGGATGTCATCAATAAAGAGAAAGTCAGGGCTTCTCTCAACACATCGTCAGTGAATTCCTCTTGGGGCCACAGTCATTAAACATTTACAGTGCAGGCCTGAAGTATTATGTTGTGATTTTAACTCATATGGGTCATTATATATTAATCAGATCATAAATGATTTTGCCAAATAAATACTACAGATTGTGTAAATCTATTAAAAAAACTACTACTAGTGTCTTTTTTAATGTAGAATTAATAAAAAGCAGAAAGGTTTATGTAACTTACGTTCACCAGACACATGAAGGCTTGAGAATATTCTGAAAAAAAAAAAAAAAAAAAAAAAGACGGAGAAAATCATAAGCTTTATGCTTGGTAAAGGATATTCAGCCAGCTCTGGTGAATGTTAACAAAGTATTTTCAAAGTTGATTGGTACCTGACATTGCCGCCATTGTCTCTCACGCTGTCCACCAACCGAACGTAACGACTCCTCGTGGGGACGTCCTGATGTCTGGACACAAAGTGTAAGTGTGTTTACATTACAAGGAACCCTTGTCTGATAAATTTAAAGCCAATAGAGTTGCGGGAATATGTGAAGGATTACATAAATAAAAGAGAATTAAAACCACTAAATGTGGATTTTTCATGTGATTTTAATATCTTAATCTTATTCTGAAGTTTGTGTTTGTATAAAAAATGAGACATCCAGGAGAAAACTGTTGGAAATGTTGGTTGGTGGCAGCTAAACAGTGAATTCCAGCGGCAACCAGTTTATCCAGCAGCTCTGTCTGTAAAAACAAACTTGTCAACTGCAGCCTAGACATAGATAACCTCAGGATGTTTGATAGGAGAATCTCTCAATACATACCTGAACAGCTTATCACTTATCAGCAAAGTGTCGATGGCAAGGGCATCAGCAGCTTTCTCCACATGAGCCACTCTGTGAGGATGCAAAGAGACAAAGGTTGTTGGATTATCAGAGTTAATGAACGAAGCTTCTGTGGGACACTGTCTGTTTACATCATCACTCACCCATAGAAAGCTCTGTCAGGCTCATGCTGGAGCATCTTATAGAAATCCTCTAGGGCTTTCACCTCTCCTGCTGCCTGGATGTTGCACATAAACAATATATATCAATAGTCACTTTCATTCCAAGTTTAGAGCTTTTGCTTACAGGATGATGTATAAACAGGGTGCATTACTCACCTTTGTGTCAGAAAGCCTGCTTGTCACTGTGGGATCAGAGAGGATTTCTGCAAAACACAAGAATTTTACATTTTTTTCACTTTGTGATAAGATTTGATTGTTTTATTCTCAGAATCCACCAGCTCCTACCTTTGAGTGAGTACTTATGACCTGAAGACGAGTGGACCAGCATGAATTTGGGGCGATTCTCCAGCAGGATCTTGTTGTCCTGCCGCACTGCCTCTTTAAAGAGGTAGGTGATGAACTGGTCCCTCACAAACCCTGGACTGGCAATCAGGAAGCACTTCACCACTAGTGGAAGGCAAGGAAGACACATCAATACCTTAACTTGTCAAGTTTAATTTCGTGAAACAGCAAACGAGCAAAGATTGTGTGGTAACAAAAATAAACCACAGTGGTACCATAAAAACATACAATGCAGTAGATGTGATAGGAACAACAAACTAAAAAAAGGAGAAGAGTGTAAAACAAAATAGGAACATGCTCTGTTTGTGTATGCAAGTGTTCACGTGCCAGTGTCTACACAGCAGCCCTACCATCAAAATTGATGTGCCGAAGAATCGCCTGCATCACAGCCTCATAGAACCTCTCCAGCGCCTGCAAACAGAGACAAATACACCAGGTCCAAGTACTGAGAGATGAACTTCCCCGAATATGAGTGTGTTTTTCACACTTGAAAGAAGAGTAATCTTACTCTCATGACTGTTATTATGCACCCAGCACACACACTCCGTCTCTCTGCCTCTTGCCATAATGCTGATTCTCTTTGTGATGGTAAGCTTTAGTTCGATATGTTCATTGAATATTGTTATATGACGTGATTTTAAAACTAGATTATATTTATAGATGCATTTTACTTTCATGATTTACCCTATTTTACTTACTGTAAACGTGACAATACACTTAAAACTGTTAAACATGTGTAAATGTATATATCTGCTGACCGTGTTCTATTCAAAATGCTTCTTATCCCAAAGTAGTCTTCATCCAAAAACACATGTTGCAAAAGGAGGAGAAGGGGGTGGGGTTGCATCTCGCAATCAGGGTTGTCAGACTGACACACTACCCAGATTTGCTGACTTTGTTCTCCCATCAATCCACCCTCCATTCAGCGGTCTATCTTCATAATTCAATATTCACTATCAAAAACAACACTCTCGTCTTTCTGTGCAGTGGGGTACCTTCTCGTGCTGAGTGCAGCTTCCTCTTCTCTTGCGAGGAATGGTGACCTCCACTTTTGCACGGAGCAGAGTCATGGCGGGTGTCACCAGCACCAGGTTGGCCAGACCCTCCTGCATTACCACAGCTGCCACATCTGCCTTCTGGGTTGCATCACATGCCTGCTCTAAAGGGTGAACAAAGCAACAATAAATAGATCATCTGAGGGGGTGGGTACTTCTTGCAGTTATCAACAAATGTTATTGCAGTTTTACTTTTAATTATTGTATTTCACTAATAAGAGGATTAGTTCTAAATTCGTGTAATTGTGTTGAGTTATTGCTAAGTATTTCAAAGACACAAATCTCTCAAATTAAATTCACATAAATGTAGTGAAAATTAGTGCAGCAAAGACTCAATGGACCACCACTCCTTTAAATACATGAACCCCATCTGTCAGCTATGAACTTCCCTCCTGTTTCTCCGTAGTCTGTTTCCATGGCAACACACTGTCTTTGTTGGTTATGTAAATAAATTAACAAGAAGACTGTGCATTTTCTGTAAAAGTCACCCTGTCAGTCAGGGTATGCAGACAGAATTAGCGTTGATATATTTAGTTAACTTGTGATTATTGCTTTCGGGAATAAGCTCTTGCGGCCTGCAGTTGAAATAGGAATTTTAAGTCAGTAGCTGGCATAAAAAGAGATACTGTTCGACATCTGTAAGCATTTTCTGACATTTGGACTCCCTGTGCTCTTTAAACCATATTGGCTCACTTCATTTAGTTGTCTGACAGAAAGAGGCAAAGGTCTGTGTTTTGTCAGAATGAAAATCTGAATTCATTTGGTAAAATGCTTAAATTGTCCAAGACTACAGTGGCTAACAGCAGCATTAAAACCAAATGCACTGTCCAGAACAGTTCATGTGGACAGTAACCCAGAGTCATCAAAAAAAGCAAGCTTCTCCAAATATCTGAAATGTGTTTCTGCTGGGAGTCTCTAACATGCAGCTTCTTGGGTCTAAGGAAACAGTGGATAAGATTTAGACAGCTGCGTGTGCAGTTGCTAAAGCCTGTGAAATTCTGTCTAGTAAACAAGATACTTGTGAATCCATGTGACTACTGTTTACAGGTCTGGGTTGATGTGCAAGTGAGAAGTGAGAGCTTAAACTAACCAAACACAAGAATGAGACAAATTGACAAGTTAAACTAATTCAACAAATTAAACAGTAGCACCTGCTTACCGATTCTATCCAGCACAACGCTGTCCCAGTTTTTTTTAGCTAAAGTGAACTTCCTGTTAAGCTCAAGCTCAATAGTGTGGTAAGCCCCCATCTGAAGAGTGAAGAACACAACATAATCAAAAACACTTTTCATTTCAAACAGGAGTTAACATTAAGACCAACTAGGTAGAAAAAAAAAACCTGCAGCAGAGGAGACAGAGTATACTGCCTGCAGTGTAATACATTGGTGTATACTCTTCACATCTTCGTGCAAGAAAAACAGTAAATTCCAAACAGTTCTGCTTATATCAATAAATACAAATAAAATATATGACTGCCCATAACCCTGTCTTAGCTACAAACCCTAAAAAAAACTGTAAAACTGACTACTTATCAGACATAATTTACATGTGTAATGATCTTTAAATACTCCTGAAATCTTAATTTCAATCCTTGCTTCACTAATTTTATTACTCTAGTTCCTGCTCCACTTTAAAGCTTCTACAAATATGTCAAGGCTACATCTGTCAGATTATTTAAACATCTCAGACCTTGACATACTGGTTCTCCTCTATGTTAGTGCCCTTTACTCTCAGCTGGCAGGCCTGGGAGTCAAAGTCAATCGTCTCCACACATATAGTAAGAGTAGTGCGAACTCTGGAGCTGCCCACGCTTCCAGTGG